TTCTTTTCATTTCTTTACTGAACCTTGTTTTTAACATCATTTCACCTCTCACCTTCGTTTTCCTGCCACCGACTGGTGAGAGATAACAAAAAAGTTCCTTAAAATACCAGTTCTTTGCCCACTTAACTGATGTAGTTCAGCGAAGAAACAAAGCCAGTTTTGGCCTAAAAAATCATTAATTATTAGAAGAGATGAATTCATGAAAGTGCTCCGACTACAGTAGTATTTTTCAAGCGTTGCAACGATGTTCAATTAAATACATGTTTTAAGTGGTCATATTTTTCGAGTTTCAATTCTTCTTTAGAACTTGACTTTCGTTTCTTTCACCATATAACATTTGAGCTTCAAAATTTTCACCGTTCTAATTCCCTAATGTTTTGAAAGAATTATATTTTGAAGCAATGGTGAACATATTTTGGCAATTCATAAAGTTACGTGTGCATGAAACATTGGGAATATGCATTCTAGCCAAACATGAATACGACAAACCTCGCCGTTATTCACTTTGTCAGTAATATCGTTCTACTGGTGTAATCATATATGATGAATAACAACATTACGAATCGAAAAGTACTAATTGTGCAATATTTAGTCGTTGATAACGATTAATTTCCTTCATAGGAGCTCTCCATTTGGTAGTTTACAATTCAACGAAAAAACAATCTGTCGAGTGTTCCTGTTCAATCTGCCATGAACTGTTCAATTTTATTCAGTGCTCAGTTTTCGTTTATAAAACCGCGCAACTAATCATTCTTCTATCAAAATTTCCGTTCGTCTTCTACAGTTTGTCCATAAATTTCTGTGCTGATTGAACCGCTTCAGATCACGTGGTCATGTTCATCGCTGTGCTTATTTTACCATTCATCACTGGTCTTATTCATGCGGCACCAACTGAACATAAGTCAACAGCTTTAACAAAACCAACGTATGTAGTTGTTCAGTTAGCAGCACCAAAATTCCTCTCTGATGCCACATGGAAGGGACGTGAAGAGTTTGCTGAAATTGTACTCGACCACACTCTCACGATCGAAGAAATTGGTGAAAAGTTGAATGAATGGGCCAAGTCGCAAGGACCCCAAGTTCAGGTTAGTCTATTTATCATGAAACAATCAATGATAACAACTGCCCATCAAAATCCAGACCACAATTCGTATTTCCTGTTCAGAAAAGTTAAATACAAGCATAATAGCACTTATGCCAACAGATATCTAACATTTATTAGGAAAACTACGAGAAGGCTGTGGAAGAGGTGAAAGCAGCAATCAAACAATCACGGGAGCGGCTTGAAAAGTCACCGCTTAGCGATGCGGCAAAGGAAGCATTTGCTGGTATTGGAAAGATTTTTGCCGATAAGAATCAGACCATGGTACAAGCTTATGATAAGGTGAAAGACTATATGGCTACTATTCCCGAAGGTACTCGCAAAGAAATGGATGAATACGTGGGTCAGGCAATCACTGAGGCGTTGAAGAAAGCAAAGGCGAAAGTAATAGATACGTCTTCAGACTGAGTACTTCCGACTGAATTGTTATGGCGATTTCTTGAGGTGCATTTCATGGAATGAAAATAAAGTTTTTCTTACGTAACTATTCAAGTTTAATGTTGAACAATTTGAAAAACTTCTGAAAATTCACCTTGTATTCATATAAGAACTATTGTCAAAAGTGTGATAAGAATCATCATTGCTTGATTGTTTCATCGTTGCACGGTTTCGATTTCGATTCAAAATATACATCAGCACCTCTCAAAGATAAAAATGTATCCAGAAATGCTGATTCCGAAGCAGATTAGAATAGAAGAAAAATTGAAGCGACCATTTTTGGTGCGTTATGTAATGTAGTCGAAAAGATAGTTGCTGTAGTCAGTCATACGTGAGGACGAAGCGAAAAATACCAATATATGATTAATTGTTTTGAAAATGAAAGCACGCCCAACAATCTCAAATAGACTGCTGAATATGAGAAAGAAGAGATGAAAAAGATGACATTTAAGCAAAATATTGTTGCATAAGGAAGAGGATGGATGGATTGCAAAAATGTGTTATCCGATCAGTTAGAACAAATCAAGCAACAACTCATCAATTAGTTCAAAAAACTTTAATAAGCGTAATGAGGAAATGGCCAACATTGGGTAGGAGAAGAAGTGCGTAGATCGTCTATTGGTAGTGGATCTTTTCATTCTCAGGTTACTCATTTTTTCGTTCATATAATTAAAACAAATTAACTTTATAAATTGCTTTTATAATTAAAATTAGAAAAAATAATTAGAACAAATCAATTACAACTTTTACAATAATAAATTGCTTTTCTCAGAAAGAAAGCATTTGTAATGAGTTATTTCAAAACGATATATGAAATATTCAAAACGGTTCAGTTCAGAATTACACAAATATCTATGCATCGTACACACATTTGTTTTCTATTAAGAGACGAATTGAAGTGAATATTTTCTGAGAATCGAACAGCAATATTTAATAATATATGTATATGTTTGAGACGATTTTTGTATTCCATTATCACCACAACAACATTCGTCCAGTCATTTGCTTCGTGATCATTTTAGCTCGATTTCGCTGAACTGCATTTATCACTTATATTTATACAAAACACATTTTTATGTATGCAGTAGATCATTTTAATGCTAATTACCGAAGATATAATCAATATGCAGCAGTAGTGAATTATATTGATATTATCGTTTATCTCAGAAAAGCAATTCATTCACTCAATCAGTAACGTTTCTACAAACTGATGTGAACTGCCTTTGGGATTTATCGAAACATCCAGCAAGCCATTTTG